AGTCCAAAGGGAGCCAGACCCGCCTTGGCGGAAGCATATGCCACGGATGGACTCCGCGCGACAACAGAAGAACGTCGCTTTGGGCCAGCGATGGCTCAGGTTGGCCTGGATCTGCGCCGGTGGTGGTGGTGGGGTGGTGGGGGGGGGTTGGTTCTCCGGGAAAATTCTGTTCTATGAGCCGCTCGGGCTCAAAATTAACTCTCGATCCAGAACACACTGGGCACAATCCAACTCAAAGGAGCCTTAAAAGCCCGTCAAAGTGGTCGCACCCCAATCCTTGTTAAACACAAGGCCTAGAGAAGTCTCGCTTGCAAGTGCAAGCTCTTCCTTCTTTCCTTCTGCATCTCTTTCTTGGAGCAGCCTTTTCCCCTCTTGGTTTCCCTCTCCTGCCCCCACCCCCACCCCTTTGTATACCTTTGTGCTAAGAAGCTACAGCCGCCCCTCCGCGTCCTTGGCGCGTCCCTCCACTGGATGGGTTAAGGCGGGGCAGAGGGTCCGTCCGATTGTTTGATTGCTTACCTGGACGCGCCCCAGGATCGCCAGATCCCTACAGAGCGCAATGGAAAAGGACCAGCCGCGCATTGGGTGGTAAGGGGTCCGCCTTCTCACGGCTGACCTCCAGGCAAATCCGCTGAGCCCGAGGCAGCTTCCTTACTTCCAGGCAAGTAAGTAGGATCGTAGCCCTGCCACCCAACGCTAGCCACGTTTACTCAAAACTAAGCGCCGTAGATTCCAGGGAGGCCTTTTCCTGCCCCCCCCCCCAACCGGTCATAGCCATGGTCGCCTTTCGGGAAGCCGATAATCATGCACCGACTGATTATATATGGAACGGTTCTCATTACGATGTGTCTTTTCCCACTAGAATCTCTCTGGGTGGTCTAGAACAGAGAAGTTCTGGGTTGTCGTTTCAGTCAGAAAGGGAAAGGAGGCAAGGCCAGGCGGAGGCGATCTACGAATCAGTTCAGCATTTTTATTTGGATTCTTTCTAAATGATCCTGTACGGCCTTCGGTTGGGGCTGAAAATGCTCTATCCGCGGCATCCGGCTGACTGCTTTTGGAAATCATCATCCCCATCATGTGCCGTCAAACGAGTTCTGGTTTATGGCGACCCTTTTCAGGGTTTTCCACAAGAAGGATACTCAGAAGTAGTTGACCCTTCCCTGCTTCTGGGAGCTCCCTGGAACTGTGCAGCTTGCCCAAGGCCATACAGGCTGGCTTTACTGAATGCCACTGAATTATCCAGCCTGCCCCTTTCCCCTATAACATATACTGTAATATATAATAGGTATAATGGGGTACCGCAGATCTATCTATCTATCTATCTATCTATCTATCTATCTATCTATCTATCTATCTATCTATCTATCTATCTATCTATCTATCTATCTATCTATCTATCTAATCGACAACCTACCGGTACCCATTGGCTGGGCCCCAATCCTGAGCTGTGTGGCAAGAGTAGCCTATGGAGCGCCCCAGGATTACCTCATTCTGAGCGCTCAGAAAGACTTGTCCTACAATGTAAGCCGTCTCAAGTAAGAAGAATGCCCTACGAGTTCAATAGGACATACCGTATTCCCAGAAAAAATGTATATATAATGGAAGTCCTTATGGACTCTCTCTACCAAGTGCCAGTCGGCCTGAAGCTTTAACACAAGGGTGGGCAAGCTCAGGCGGTTGGGGGGAGGGGTGCAAAGTTGAGCCCACCTCCCCTTCCGAGGGGTCCCGAAGAGTCGGGCACGACTTAACGACTAAACAACAAAAAGCCTAAGACTGGACACGTGGAGTGTTTCCTTCAGGGCGGCTCGGGGAAAATCTGGTGTTCGAGCCGTGGGTTCGGCAGGTTTCTTCCCTTCTGTTCCCAGGGGGAAGGGCATAGCAATGAAACTGCCATGCTTTGCCTATGCTGGTGGTGATGGCTGAGGGGAGGGGGAAGGGAAATTCGAGGCCTCTCTCCTCCTCCTCCTCCCTTCCCAGTCTCCCAG